TACCGTAGAGTTCGATACCTTCACACTGGTTACTTACAGGAGATTATGGTGTATCAACATAGAAATTCACTCCACCACCCGACTCCATGATTTATACTTGATAAATGATGATTTAATGACTTCCATTAATTTCCAACATCCATCTAAGTTATTGGTTATACTTTGTCATAACCAATCAGTCATTACCTTTAGTAATAATAAGATAGAATCACAGATACGGGCAGATAATTGCACTTACAATTATTTGACAAGCTTCCATACAATAATTTACAATTTGCATGGATATAGGAGTCACTCACATTCACTCTGTAATAAAATTAATCTTCTAAAAAGGGGGAATTTTCAACTTGGGACACATGTGATTACTCTACTATGGGTATGACTTAACAGAGCCTTCAACTCTTCAAGTGATACATTTACTGCCAGCCTGGATTGCTCTTGTTGCAACCAGGCTTCCGCACAAGAACTTCTTTCCACGGCGAATAACAACAAAAAAGTACTCTTGGGTTACCACACATAGTCTCGTGTCACTAACAGTCACTGTAGACGGTTGCCGCGGCAGGGAGAACTGGTAAGTGTGACTTGATTAACCACTTAGGTTCAGTAAGCCAGCCTGGATTGCTTTTGTCACAACCAGGCTTCCACACGTGATTTTTCCACGGGGAATACAAACCTAGATTAACACACTTAATCTTGTGTCGATCACGGTCACTGTAGACGGGTGTCGCGCAGGAGAACTCAGTAGGCGTGACTTGATTAACCATTTACTGTAGGTTTGATAGGCCAGCCTGGATTGCTCTTGTCGCAACCAGGCATCCACACGTGATATTTACACGGGGATTACAACCTAGGTTAGCACACTTAAGTCTCGTGTCATTGACGGTTCACAGGACGGGATGACGGTGGAGGACTCTGTGTGGTGTCCCGTTCCCTTCAGAAGGGAGAGGGTGGGGACGACATCTTAACTAACCCATGGCCTAGGGGATACTACTCAAAATGTGGTTTTGGGGCGTGAGGCGACGAACAGTACAACACTGTCTCAATGGCCTCCCCCTATAGACTGGCTAACATACCACAAATGGAAAAAAATGGCGGTCATGGCTCGCCGGGTGCCTTATTTCTAGTAAAACAAACTTTGGAGTTGGTTGCGTGGGTAAGCCTAACGCAACCCATGACACTTGGCTTGTGCTTCTAAGTTCAAAATCTTTATTCCAGTAAAATTCAATTTAGTTTCATAGTACTACAGTATACTGTACAGTACAGCATTATTTTTTTTTAATTTTCAAAAGGATTTTCACCAATTTCATATGTAAATCTGTTGGGGAATCAAGTTAAAACTTTGAATTAAAATAGTGAAGCAGACCAGGGGATCCAACCAAATTCGACCTGAGCAACACTACCTTACGATTATTAGGTGACATATAGCTTACATCTGGTTCTTGAAGATTTTACCTGACGATTAAACACCCTAATTACTGCTATCCAGGTAAGTTAAGTTAGCTTAGCATTAAGGTGCTTATTCTTAATCCCTTCAGTATGGGGATGTAATTTTTAGTATTTTAATTGGCTAATGCCGCACAATTTTCTTCAGTTCAGAAGGGAAACTGCCTGTATACAGTAATACTGTATCTCCGTTAGCCAGAACTCTCCAATACATATAAAGTACAGTATACTGAATTAGAGAAGCTATTAATACTGTACTGTACTATATATTTCATAATCTACCATTTTCAATACAAACTCACCAAATTTCATTTGACGGCAGGTTTTCTTTCATGACTGGCAGCTTACTATTTTGCACATAAATGTTATTTTTTTGGGAGAAAATGGGAATAGTTTCCACTGCCAGGAATGCATCTTCAATTTACAGTTATTGTTCATTGCATTCTATCTGTTTTACTATTTATTAACCTGCACTCAAAGAGATGAGGAATTTTTTAACAAGATTTTAGCAGACCTTTGGTAGTTCAGAAAGTTCTATGGTTCGGCACCAGTCAGGTCCCGAAGGTACTGGGTGAGAGTGGTTCAACCTGTTTTATGAAACATATTCAATTCTCAGTTTCTGACACATGATTCATAACACTGAGAATGAAAAAAAGCAACTTTTATTCTATCACATAAATATCCAAATACCCTGTACAGTACAGCAGTTATGGTGAAAATGTAAGTACAATCATTTCTGCTACAATGCGTGTTTTGTCAACGCGAATTGGTTGTAACACAATTGATGAATAGGGGAACGCCTTTTGTAAAACGCAAACTTTTACACACAAATGTTGGCTATAACACGATTCCATCCACAATGTTTTAAGTGTAGCGTGGCGAGGGGTTATGCAATGTTTGCAGTTCACGTTCGACACCATATGTTCAATTGATTCGTGTGTTTTGTTTGTGAAGTGTTTTTAGAGTGGTACTCTGTAAATTTTGTTCTTTTTTTTTCAAATTTAGCTGTTACCTATAAATACTGTATGAAAAGAATAAGTAAAAGGAATGTTTCCCAGTGATGACTGATAACGGTTTACACCAGCACTCTCTGTTTACATCACGTGATCAGTTGAATCGCTCGGTTTCTGTCGATTGCTCTATGAAGTGTCCATGATTTTTGCTGTTTTCTCCAATTTTTTTGTGTTCGCCATTGAATATGGAAAAGCAAGGTAAGAAGAATGTTTCCAACAAGCGTTCTGGTGATCGAATTGCCGGTGGTGAACGTAAAAGAAAGGATATAACACTATTGCTGGAACAAGCTTGAGTAGCAAATCTGTGAGATCACGGACAACGTAATATGCACCTAACCCTATTTTCTCCATAAGCCGCTATTTTTATTGCGCAAATTTCTAGAGCGCGAGGTTTCACAAGAACGCAACTATTTCACAAGAACGCAACTATCGCGTTGTAGCAGAAATGACTGTACTGCACTGTACTGTACAGTAAATCATTACCAAAACAAACATTACAGACCTAAGTATGATTTTATCAGAAATGGACCACAATTACCTGAGTCCATAATGGCTAAAATCACACAGACTGTGACTGTTTTAATCAATTCACCAAAGCACTAAAGGCACAAAGCATAAAACCTTCTATACCATTAGTGAACATACTGTAGTACTGTACCTACATATTTTTATATTTTTTTCAGTAATACTTTAAGTTGGTTGTGCACCTGAGCTAGCATCTTCAGATATTATTTAATAAAAGGTAAATGCTTCCTTACCTCATGACATGTCCAAAACACTATTTTAAGCCATCCTAGACACTTCCAAAAACATGCCAGCTATTTCTACAATATATGATTTATTGGACATAAAATGGATACACCTAACCTAAACTAGGTTAGGGGAGATAGTTTCAGAAGTTAGGTAGGTTAGGTTGGTTCATTTTATTACCAATAATTCATATGCAATGGATATTTTGCTGTAACAGGCTAAGTTCCTACTAACGCTATTTTACCATGAGTGCACTCTGATTGGCTAATTGTCCATTACCAGTGAACAAATGGCAAAATATCCACTGAGTTCATTTTTCCTAGAGATGTTTGGATGATACTGTAGTAGGTAAATAGAAATGACAATGCACTGGTTAGGAAGTTAGGTGAGGTTAAGTAGATGAAGTGAGATTAGGTGAGGTAAGGTTCTAATTGATTCTGTGAATTGTCACTTTGAATTGATTAGTCAATCAGAGCACACTCACGTAAAATAGCATTAGTAGGAACTTAGCCAATCACAGCAAAATATCCACTGCCTAAATCATATAACACAGCAGTAGCTGGTAAGTCTTTAGAAACACCTTAGATACAAACAAATTCCTTTCAATTTTGAGGGGTTTTTATGAGGAAAGGAAGCATTTATCCTCTACAGAAAAATTTCCTAGAGTTATTCGTTAAGGGACACAACCATCACAAAACATTCCATTATTTCCTTGTTCCACAGGACCAAAGCCAGATATACAATCAAACAAACATTTTAAGTCAAAATCATATAAAAAAACAATACATTTCAATGTTTGTGAGCCTAGAATACACTTTTACCCACTGTAAATCTTGATTTTATATTCATAGTGGACATTTTGCCATGACCAGCTAAGTTCTTAATACGGTATTTTACCGTGAGTGCTCTGATCGGCTAAGTACTTTTTGTTTAATATGATGGGAGGTCCGCCTCCTGGCTAGGAAGCTAGGTAAGGTTAGGTAGGTTTCTTTGGTTGGTTAGGTCAGGTTCTATTAGGGTCTAGTAAATGTCACCTCTTTTATAATAAGAACATCTGTGGAAAAAATGACCAAAATCAAACAACTCCTTCTGGTTAGGTATGTTTTTAGCTAAACAACGATCGACTCACAGTGAAATAAATGCTAAATGCTGCGAGTCACGGTCACATATCGTTCTTGTGTTGTTCGCCGGTTATGGGCGATTAGCCAATCAGAGCACACTCACTGTAAAATAGTGTTAATAGGAACTTACCTGGTCACTGAAAAATATCCACTGCCTTTTATATTCTTAATTCTCAAACACTAAGCAATATACATTCTTCTTTATCCTCAAACACTAATATACACTCTTATTTATTCTCAAACACTAATATACACTCTTATTTATTATCAAACACTAATATACATTCTTATTTATTCTCAACACTTGCCTTGCTCTGTCCTGACAACAATCACAGCACAGTCAGCACAGGAAACTGGCACAGGAAATCAATCTTACCCCATGAGGTACCCGATTCTTTGAGCTTGAAAAGAGAAATTTCTATATATAGTGCCAGTACTAAACTAAACAATATCACTATCAACCAGCACGTAATAATATACACTGAGAAGATAGTACAGTAATACAGTATTAATCACCAACCATTAGTGATCATGAGACAGGTTCGTCTAAGGTTTGATTTCACGTTGTTCCATTCCAATTCACTTTTACCTGACACATAACCTAATATTCATACTGATAAACCATTATAGGTTATGAATAAATTGTATAACCCATCTAATAAGTGATACATACCAAGATAAAGTACACACGGGTTGACCCTCACTAAGCCTCTCAGCTGGTGCCACCTCTCATGTCAAGTTTCCATGTTGTCTCTTATTTTCTCTTGATTATTCTTCTTCTTTCTCACTTACAGTTGATATTGATGTTGACAAATAAGATTATATAAATTGATTTTACTATTCCACCATGATACAATATTTTTTATTTATTGCTAATGTAGTTGATGCGTGCTGTATTTTCTATGGTTTTCATTTTAAGTTTATCGTAACTACACGGGGTACATAAATATTCTTAATGCTACAATTGACTTTTAATTTTCAACTATGACCTTAAATCTTGACTCAAAAGAGAATCTGCTAAAAGTTGAATACAGTATAGTGAAAATTAAGAGCAAAACAAAAATAAGTCCTACAGTACATAATTATACTCAAAGTTCTATCTCTCATGATCTTCAAATGTTTATTTTCATTCTACCACTTATCAACAGCTTACTAGACGTGCGGGCGGTTGATCTATCCATTGTAGTACAAGGGGAAACCTGTAATGTTAGGTAATATGTAAAGGGTTCGAGCCCAGGGGCAGATCCAGGGGGGGGTCCTGAGGGTCTGGGCCCCCCTTTTCATCAGAAAATTACAATGCTTTTCCTTTAAAGTAGTATTGTAAACAGGCGCTTTTTTGTAAAGTAAAAAGTAATTACTATTGACCTCAGAATATCTCCTAATATCTTTTTACTTTACTTTTATCCTCTTCGCCACTGATCGGCTCGTTAGCCGCCCGGGCGATCGGTCACGTCTCTGTCACGCACTGTTGGCAAATACTGGGCATGCACCGGCTCCTGAATGTACCTGAACCCGCTCCAGTGTTGGTCAAGTCTTGTCTTGAAAGAGCTCACACTCGGTGCCGTCACAACACTCTCTGGTAGATTGTTCCAAGAGTTTACAACCCTCACGGTTTTCTGGACTTGGGGCTTCTTCAATCTTGAGCTGTGACCCCTTGTGGGGCGAGCGTCCGCCAGCTCCAAGTAAGGACACTCAACTGAGTAGTGCCCCCTGAGATGGCATATGGCTTCAAAACGGCCACAAAATGCCCATGATATTGCCCAAATTTAAAAAAATGTATTATATAGGGGGTGGGAGGGCTGTAAGACTCCACCCTCTCCCCCAGCTGGGTGGGCTTGTGGGGTTATGAGATATTGGTTCACACTCAGGATGGGTTGGAGAAAGGAAACTCAGAATGTGCTCTCTGTATACATATTGTAATGGATGTACAATGCAGCTTGGTGCTGGGGAGTGGCAGCGTGGGTCCAAGCGTGGAGTAGAGAGAGCTGGTTGATGAGGGTGCTCAGAGGAGGACACGCAGCTTGAGAGGCGCCATAGTCGCCGGCGGGAGCGAGGGCCATCAGGCGGGAGCGGAGGAGGTGTTGCTTGCTGCGGCTGAGCTAGAAGGAAGAGGTAGGTCACGGCCACGTGAGGTCTTATATAGCAGGGGTAGGCGTGGCTTGATAGTTGACCTCCGCTTTGTTAGGCGGCGCTGGTTACCGACCTAGACCACGAGGCGCAGGCTGGGGAATTCGAAGAAGATCGGCTAGTCAGCGACAAGCGGTTGTGGGGAGGGGATCCACTACAATACTCCCCCTTCCCTCCAGGCGGTGTAGGAGACTTGTTGTCTGCAGGGTTGCATCCCACATGTGAGACATAACGGGAGGTACAGGAGACTTGTTGTCTGCAGGGTTGTATCCCACATGTGAGACATAACGGCGAGGGCGTGGATGAGCCGGCCGCTATGGGAGACACTTTGTCTAGATACACGAGATCTGTGGGAGAAGCAGAGGGAGAAGGAGGGTTGTGGAGGCGAGGAATGTGGTGCTTCTCTCGCGGCAGGTACACAGTCCTCAGTAGCACCTGGTGGGGTGTGTGGGTCCGCGTCAGGAGCAGGGGTCGCGTCAGGAGCAGGGGCCGTGTCAGGAGCAGGGTCCATGACAGCAGCAGGGTGCATGACAGCGGCAGGGTGCAAGACAGCAGCAGGGTCCACGACAGTAGCAGGGGGTACCTGTGGTGTAGGGGCTGTAGCTGTAGAGCCGATGAGAGCTGCCTCCGTGTGGATAAGCCAGTCTTCCAGTGATCAGTTTCTCCTCCATTCTGTGTGAGTGCGTCACTCCGGGTTCACCATTTGTGGGGTTATGAGATATTGGTTCACACTCAGAATGGGTTGGAGAAAGGAAACTCACAATGTGCTCTCTGTATACATAGTGTAATAGATGTACAATGCAGCTTGGTGCTGGGGAGTGGCAGCGTGGGTCCAAGCGTGGAGTAGAGAGAGCTGGTTAGTGAGGGTGCTCAGAGGAGGACACACAGCTTGAGAGGCGCCATAGTCGCCGGCGGGAGCGAGGGCCATCAGGCGGGAGCGGAGGAGGTGTTGCTTGCTGGGCCTGAGCTAGAAGAAAGAGGTAGGTCACGGCCACGTGAGGTGTTATATAGCAGGGGTAGGCGTGGCTTTATAGTTGACCTCCGCTTTGTTAGGCGGCGCTGGTCACCAACCTAGACCACGAGGCGCAGGCTGGGGAATTCGAAGAGGATCGGCTAGTCAGCGACAAACGGCGGTTGTAGGGGAGGGGATCCACTACAGGCTCGCTATACTCGCCATGCTCCCCCACCCACAATTTCATGGACACTCCTTTTGATATTCCTGGATCCGCTTCTGGAGTCCTGCTTGGCCCAGACACTTGTTATCTAGTGTGACTGTACCTTCGTAGGGTCAGATTGGATAACAATTATGTCTGGGCCAAGCAGGACTCGAACCCTTGACTAATTCAATTTGGTGAGAGATACGTGTGTTATTGCTGGAAGATGTTGGAGGCTCCAATCTCTCTCTCTCTCTCTCTCTCTCTCTCTCTCTCTCTCTCTCTCTCTCTATATATATATATATATATATATATATATATATATATATATATATATATATATATATATATATCAAAGTTAAACTGAAATAGAATGGTGTCATCAATAATTTTACTGATTATATAATGGCTATTCTTGGCTATATATAAATAAGTTAAGGAGTTAAGTTACAAACCCAAAATGGTCTTTTCTCCATTTATTGATAAACTAAAAATGTCACAGGCTATGAGTAAAAGCACCGTAATTAACACTGTAAGCTGTGAGAGTTAGTTAAGGACAGGGCTCAGCTTGACTGAGTTTAGTCATCCGTCCGATTCTCGTGAGACTCAAGTGAAGACTGGTCCTTGTAAGGACTGGGTGAGGGGAGGTGTCTCTGAAGGAGAGGTCGGGCTAACCCTACAATCTCAAGGTCGACCTACTGATAGAGGAATTTCCCCTCACGTGAACAGCACATGGCAACTCACAGCTTATGAAAAATTGCCGTGGGGTGATTGAATTATATAAACTAAATGTATTAACCCAAATTTATATAATTGTTATTGCCATGAGACGGGGGCTAATGCATGGCTGTAGTCCAAGATTTTGAAAACATGCAGACGACAACGTGACGTCACATAAGTACGACTGTATCGCCAGCCTAATTCTGGACTACACAAAATGACGTCACTGTACCTTGAGGCTCCACCTAGTATTATTACCGACTATTTTACACTCACTCATGTCTTAAGTATATAGTCTTTGCACTTACCCTGCAAACGACTCACGGAGGGAGATACGAGTCAATTGAAAAGTAATGGCATTGTCTGGACTTTCTTTTGAGAATGCCCGATTCTAGGCAAACACAAGTGATCGCGGTGAGAGTTTGAACGCTCGTGACAACGTACAGCGAATGAGGGTGCGCCAAGTCCGTAGACTTGCATCGTTTTCCATCGTAAATAAAATTGTTAATTAATGCCTTCCTAAAGAAACCATCGACATGGGGACCAGGTTTGTTCCACTCTACGAATTTTTTGCGATTTTTCCACCAAGTTTGATGAAAAACGATTGTGCCGTTACGGCTGCCCAGAACAGACACACACACAAACAGACACACGCCTAGTCCTATATTATATTAGATGACAGGATAGTGATGTTATTGTTGTGATGATTTACTAATGAACCACTAGGATATATCAGGGCCGGATTCAGGAGTGGGCAAAGTAGGCAGCTGCCCAGGGGCCTCCACAATCTGGGGGCCTCCACATATTACAATATTTTATTTATTTGTTTATTCATTTGGATTATTTTTTTTTCATTCTTTAAAATTCATGTTTATCTATTCCATCACGTAAAACTATGTTCAGCAAGAAGCGTGATAGAAATTAGGCTAGCTACTCCTTGAAATTCATGATTACCTGGTTTTCCTATGAACAGTATATTTTTAATGAATGCTGTTGTTTGTGTTGTTAATAATATATTTAGAATTCCACAAACATATATTGATTAAAAATGAACTACATGGAATAACGAAATTGAGATTAAAAAAAAAAAAAATAATAAAATATTTTTTCATTATCACTTCCATTACGAATGCCATCAGGGCGCTGTGTTTGTTGACAGTCGGTCGGAGGGGGTTGGGTCGTGTAGTATCTGCACATCGGTTGTCATGTGTCTGTCGATTAAAGATGAGACTTGCGTCACCCATGATTCGTGAACTTCCCACTAGTAGACATAAACATGTCTTGCAGATTTAAAATGAGAGAGAGAATTGTCATGTGTGCTTGTTGAGTGAAGTCGTCGCCGCTCAGTGATGAATGATCTTGTCAGTTGTCATTTCCAAGAACATGTCTTGCAATTGTTTTACTATTGGATGCAAAACTTCAATTTTATTTATAGTTGAGTTAATACTTATTCTGAATCTATCTGACCTTGGACTTAAAGAAGCCTACACATGCATTCTTGGACAGAACCATTATTTGAGTAGAGGTTTATCTGATTAATAATGCAAAGAATCATCTCTCTGTAATAACTAATAATATATTCTTTTCTGTGAAGTCTCTTGAAAATTTTTGACATGTGCGGTAGTAGCTATATCAGGGCTGGTCGACTTGAAACCACATGAATGACTCCAGTCATGTCTCACTTTTGTGTGTGTGTGTGTGTTGGGAATTTGTACACTATCAATAAATATAAAGTTAATTAAAAATTTCTCAATGATCTAATTTCCTCAATATAACTGCATATGGCTTCAAAATTCTCCAAAGAAGTGTTCAAATTTCAAAATTTTCC